ACATATGACTCAAATGTGCCCCCTACATTATTCCAACAGTTATATCTAGGGATGCACCGATCCACTTTTTTTTTTTTTTCGATCCGATCCCGATACCTAGATCTGAGTCTGATCCCGATCCAGTTCCGATATCATGATCATTGATTTTATGAGGCTGTAATAATCTGCTCTCAAGTACAATTTGTACAAATCTATGCATGCATGTCCAAAAAGGCAACTTGAGGTAAGTTTTATTAATGTTGGATAAGTTTTAAAGTTAGAATTAAATCCTGCTAACACAAAACATGTTTCTTTTTATTCCTAGCTTTAAAGTGGATATTCAAGTGATTGTTTAAAGTTATTTTATATTTTATAAGGGGCAGATATAAGAATTATTTCTTCTCTCTGCACTCTTTTCATTCAATGTTTTCTTTTTGATGATTTTTTTAATTTTGTTTTATTTAAATGAATGAATAAATGAATTAAATAAAATGTTAAATGTCTTCAAACATCTGCTAAGTTCATGACATAAACCAACAGACATGTTCCTGTTTTTAGTATTTTACATCACTTTATAATGTAGCTGTTTTTGTTTTTAATATATATAATTTTCAAATCTTGTTTTTAATGATTGTCTACTGTTGTACTGATAAATATCTCCTGCAGGGTAAACTATATCTTGACTGCAAGTATCAAACTGTGAAATCCTTCGTTTTCTACAACTGATAGTGTTCGGTCATTAATTATGAAGTTTATCAACTTCTCTGTAAACATTAGAGCTCCGTGGTTTCAGCGACGTCTTCTTCTTGTTCAGTCCGAAGCAGGCAGTCTGGTTTGGGTCAGCTGCTCTCAGTCAGTCCCTCCTCGGAGACGGAGGGACTGAGCGGGGCAGATTGGACGTGGCCGCCCCGGGTTGAGCAAAGAGCAGCGCCCGCTGAAGCCCCGGAGCTCGAATGTCCAACGTAAAACTAACTTTAACGTAGTTTAATGTGGCGCTGTGGCTCTGCAGACAGTGCACGTTGCCGTCTTGTCTTGTGGTGTTTAGTGTAAAATACTTCCACACAGCGACATGTTTAGATGAAAAGTTGGTTAGCTGTTAGCCACAGTGATGCTAACTCAGCCCTCACGTTGTAGCTGCTGCAAACTATGAACTGGATTTCCTGAATGTGAGGCGGGTCTTATTACTCTGGGTTCATGAGACACGTTCAGGAAATCCATTCCGTAGTTTGAAGCCAACGTGCATCATGGATCGGAAAATCCGATCCGTAAATTATGCTGATATCGGAGGCCGATACCGATACTGGATCGGATCGGCCCCATCCCTAATTTTTTTGTTTCGTTTTTTTGAATGTCCAGAGGACCAGATTCAACTGTTTTACATTTTTCTACCTGGATTATTGAGCAGCTTCAGGACATGCTCACAACA